AAAGCTTGGGATTGTCCAGCCGCAGGTCTCAAGGATGGAGAGAAGGAAACGATCTCCTTGCAGCCAGGATACCTGCTGACATGTCTTCTGCTTCACTCTGCTCCAAAACAGGACATGGAAAGGATTTTCCAGGCATTGATGCCTGCCGCTCACCCCCCAAAGTCATCATTTTTAAGCACAATTCTCAGCTGCTTTTTCTTGTGTCCCTGTGAACTCCACCTGTAGCTGATGATCCAGTTCAGAGCTTTCCTTGCTCACAGGGCCAGGACTGATGGCTCTGCAGGCTGAAGGTGGTTGGGGTGTCCCTGTGCCCCGGCCATGCAGCCACAGCCCTCTGGGACCCGGCAGCTCCTGCTGCCAGTGGCTATAGCAGCTCTGGGGAATAGGAACTGAAAATGTCACAGGTGAGCTCAGCAGGAGAGTTCCCAATGGAAAGCAGCAATGATTGTTTGAGGGAAATGAATTGAATTTCTCTGACAACTACTTGCAGATCTAGGGAGTGAGCTCATACATACCTGGAAGAATTGCTTCAAAGAAAGCTTATTGTGACTGCTGCCACTTGTTCTGCTCCGTTTTCAGGTTATTTTGGAACTGCCATGAGCGGAGGAGCTGAGAAAGAGGAGTTCATTTCATCCCAAAGCAGGCACAGCAGCACCCGGAGCATCCTGGAGCACCACCACAGGCCCTCATTGTCCGGGCGTGCTGCTGCTTGGGCAAATTTAGCACAGAGCCAGTGGCTGCTTTAATAGGAGCGCTGAGATTTCAGGGGAGCTATAAATTTCTATTCCCCTGTAATTGCAGCAGCACACCTCGGTGCTGTTGCTGTAGCAAGAAAATGGTTCTCCCCGGTGCCCTGGGGACTTGGCAAAGATGCTGGCACAAACAGGATAATGAATGTTAGATAAGCAGCATGTTTCGCAGACTGAGCTTAAATATTGGAAGAGCAGCATCCCCACATCAGAGAGTAGTTTAACGTTATCTTAAATCTAGGGAATGTTTTCCCCTCTGCGCACTGGGATTTGCACCAGGACCTCACTTTAGCACTAATGGGATCTGGGAGTATGGAAGCTGTCTTAATGCACTGCATGCCTCCTAGCTCTTGTCTAAGTAAAATGAGTTTGAATTCTTCATTTTAATCGCAGGCTTGTGATCTGGAATAGACATTCTTGTACTGAAAAGCATCCGCTTTTAGATCCATCCCTTAGGATACGCAATGACAAAGGCAGGTCCCAGTCCCTGCCTGTCTGTGTGTTCATGAAACACAGCTGTATTCCTGTGGTGGTTGTGTTGCAGCAGTCCCTGCAGCCAGCAAACCTCAGAAATGCCTCCATAAAGACCCCCCTAGCATGGACAGGGAAACTCAAACAAGGTCTTTTATGCTATCATTCACTGTTTAGCTTGGAATGGTGTTTTCAGTGTTTGCTGGGGGGATGTGCCAGAGGCCCCTGCCTTGCACAGCCCCAGTCTGGGTGCAGTGGGTGGCTGGTGAGGAGCAGTGAAGGTGATAAAGGCTGGGTGGTAGCAAGTGGGGGAGATCCCCTTCCTAAGCCATTTTATACCACTCGGGACCAGGCTTCCCTGGCCTTAGCATCAATCTAAGGGTTCTCTTTGGCTATCACTGCTACCTTGTGAGAGTAGGAGAACTCTGAAGTTGCTGCTGTAGTGGAACAGAAAGTTATCTCTCACCCTGTAGGGATTTAGCAAAGATGCTGGCACAAAAATAGTTTGTAATGAGCTTTAAGACATATTAATGAAGAGAAGTATAATTATTACTACAGAGCTCAATTACAGCCCTTGGATTACAAATATTCTCCCACAATCCCTCCAGAAGGAAATGCATCTTGTCTCTGCAATTAAATAAACTGTATCAAGAGGAGGGAAGAGGATTAAACTACAGAAGAAAGAATTGCTTCAACTTGACTGTGGTGGCCCCTCTCATCCTCCTGACCAGCTACCGGCGCTCGAAGGAGAAGGATCCCTGCTCAGCACGGTGCCATGGCAATGCAAATATTCCTTAGGGAACTGGCGGTTGGCTTCCTTCCAAAGCGCTTGGCATCTGTAATGCAGCACTTGCCGTGTTAGGAGAATCTAATCAGCCCCTTCCTGCAGTATTTATGGCAGAGCACACCTGTACGTTTCTGCTCCGCGAAGATGCAGCCTCGGCACTTCTGAAGGGTTTTTTCCTTCCCTGCTTACTGAGCATAGAGACAAAATTGAGGCATTCACACATTTCCCCCGGGAGCGTGACTGAAAGCGTGGAGCGGGGCGAGACGTGCGGCTGCACATGCAGAGCGGTGCCACGGGTCAAGTGCTGGCAAGTGGCACGCAGAGGGAAGGGAGCTTGGCCTCGGCAACGCAGGGATGTCAAGCAGAGGTGAGAACGATGTGGTCCCGAGGGAACAGCGAGATGTGGGGCTGGAATAGCTCCTGATGAGCCTTTTAGCTTCTGGGCCGGAGAAGTTTGCCTCTGGAGAGCTCGGAGGGAAGGAGAAGCCAGTGTCTCGCTGTGTGCTGAGCCTTTCTCTTGCAGGGTCACCCTGACATGGCTGCTGGGTGGCAAAGCAGCAGGGTCAGGGCAGCTCTGCTGGCTTTGGCACCAGTGGGGGAGAGTCTGCTGCAGCCAGAGATGGTACAGGCAGTGCCCAGCCCAGTGCTGCTGCCATGGAACATAGTGCAGTGCAGGATGCTCCAAGCCAGCCAGAGCCAGGTAGTGTAGCTCCAACGACTGCTGTAACCCTAAAATCTATCCTGAAACCCTTCTGACATCAAAATGCACTGAGGCAAGCATGGGAGTGGAGGTCCTTGGGGATGCTGTGGCTGGTTTTCTGCAGGACATGGAGCAATGCCAAGCCCTGGGGAGGGTATGGACACACGCAGGGACCGTGAGCTGGTCAGGCACATTTCTGAGCACTGCCAGGGACCTTGGTGGCTTTTCCTACTAAGCAGGATGACAAAATCACAGCCATGTGTTGTAGCAGCCTCTCAAGCATTGCTATTGTCTGCACAGGACAGAACCTGCTATCTGAACACATTTTACATGCAGCCTGATTGTTGCTGAATCCGTCCTACCCAACCTGGTTTACACACTGTTTCAGGGCTTGCTTTTGATCCCACTGGCTGTAGGACACTTGTTCATACTGTGAACCCTACTGCTTTGTTCCTGCCAGTGTGCTACCCATGGGGAAGCCTTTGTCCGAATAATCTCAGATTCCCTAAGAGCAAGAGCTGCCAGCTTTGCTTTCTAGCTGGAGTGACAGCAAGGAATACTGAGAGATTCTTCTATTCATCGGTGGTTTTCTGTTCATGTATCCTCACATCAAATCAAGTGTCAAAATAACATCCTTGGTCTGCAAGCAGCAGCTTTTGGCCACTCATGGCCATCTCAGGAGCAGATATTTAGTTGTAAAGAAAACCAGCAAGGGTTATTTAGTGAAGAAAATGTGATGGGAACAAACTAATGCAAAACTTAGCAGAATCTGAGAGGGCTGGAACTGCAAGAGCCACCCCTCTGAGTGCTGCAGCTCTGCCCTGTGCCAGGCATCCCCACAGCAGAGCCATTGCAAGCGCTGGGAATACCTGGCCATAGACACTGCTGGGACAGCTGCCACCTGGGTGGAGAATGCAGCCTGCATTGCCACACACCAGCCCTGGGAGCGGTGGGAGCCAAGGAGAGGGGTGGCAAGATGTGGCAGTCGGGTTCGTAGCTCTATGAGTCAATAGAACACTTCTAAGCTCTTTGCTTTCTTCCTGGGTTTCATTTAATTCCAAGTCTGTTCAAGTATTAAGCACTATCAGTGCATGCAGGAAAGAGCCCCAGACACTCGCTGCTTGTGGAGGAGCTCTTGGCTGAAGTCTTTGCTCACTTACATGATTAATCTGTCTGTGAAGTGCAGCTATTACACCCTGAATAGTGCCTGGACAGTCGTGCAGCATCTTCCTTACAGCACGCGAGGTGCAGATGGCAAAGCTCCGAGCTGACCCTGCGAGGAGGTGGAAGGTGACTTCGGTGCTGTGTAATGAGCTGCTCCTGGAAAACCAGCTTCAAGAGAGCAAGCAGACAGCTCTGGATGGAGGCACGCTGCATGCTGGAAATACTTAACCAGATTGTAATGAAGATCTGGCTTCATTGCTGGAGTCTCGTAGGGCTGATAACTGAATCATTCCTCTTGCACTGAAGTCCCCAGTTGGAAGGAATGCATAAAGGCACAGCATTCTAGGACACTGGAGCAGTTGTCTTAGCGTGAATCCTGCCAACGGAACAATATTGCTTGCTGTTGCATGAACAGAACATGTCTCCTCTGATTGTTTTTCCCTGCTCTTTTGAGATAGATGCTGTCTGAGGATCCCCACTGGTAGAAGGTCTTCTCTGAGGTACAGTTACAGCTCTTTACACGTAACCTCTGGCATTGGTAATGGAGGGTAAAAAAACAAATCTAAGTGCTTTTTGGGTGAAGCTTGCTCCTCTCCTGGAAGGTATTTGTGACACTGGACAAGAGACTGCCATCAGTGGTGCATTCCATGGTCCTGTTCTAGGGTGCTTCAACTGTCATTATCCCTTTTTAATTTGGGGAGTTACTGAAGTGTGATAACATCCCTGGAGTGGCGCCTGGGAGGGACCAGGGAGAAAGGTGCCTCTTAGGAGAATGCTGATGGCTTTTTGTGCTGCTAAGAAGGTGCTGCCTGGCCCAGCCACCTTCTCCATGTCAGACTGGTGATTGCTGCTGGGGACAGCCCCCCTGCTTGGGCCAGCTCTGCCCTTGGAGGTATCATTCATTTGCCTAGCAACTGGTGACTCTTGGGAGCCAAGAATTGAATTGTTGAGGCGTTATAAGCTTTATGTATTGCATTACCCCAAGGTAAGTGATAGAAAAGGAGAGTTAATCCTGTGATAGAGAGGGGAAGTGCCACTGCAGAGCAATCATTTCAAAGGCAAACAGAAATATTTATAGGCTCGGGACTGTGAAACTTGCCGCTGCACTCTGACACGAGATGTGCTGCTGATGCCCGGAGCAGCACTCGAGGAGCGGGCTCTGACAGTCACGCGGGCTGCAGCTCTGCTGAAGGTAAGTCTCAGCTCGCGCTGGGTCCAAAAGCATGTGCTGATGTGGTCAGCTTGGGTAAGGTGTTGTAAAATCGGAACTGAAAAGGATTTTCAGCCCTTCAGAATTCCCGTGTGTGTTGTTTGGTGATGACCTGTGCAGTGATGGCGGCTTGCAGAGATGTCCCTACCCCAAGGCACTGCACCACACCACCAGCTCCAAGGGAACGGGTGCCCCGTATCACAGAATCCCAGACTGGTTTGGGTTGGAAGGGACTTTAAAGCTCATCTAGGTGGCAGGGACACCTTCCACCAGAGCAGCTTGCTCCAAGCCCCATCCAACCTGGCCTTGAACACTGTCAGGGATGGGACAGCCACAGCTTCTCTGGGATTCCCTGCAGCCCCTTTAGGCACTGGAGCTGCTCTCAGGTCTCCCCTTCAGGAGCCTTCTCTTCTCCAGGCTGCCCCAGCCCAGCTCTCTCAGCCTGGCTCCAGAGCAGAGCTGCTCCAGCCCTTGCAGCATCTCTGTGACCTCCTCTGTACTGGCTCCAGCAGCTCCACATCCCTCTTGTGTTGTTGCCCCAGAGCTGGGTGCAGTTCCCACTGCCAGCAGGGACTGACCAGTTCTGATGGGAGCAGGAAGAATTTTCTATTACCTGCAGACAATAGAGGGAAGAAATGAATTCATTCCCATCCCAAAAGCAATCTCCGCAGGCAGGTTTTGAGGCAAGTTTCCAACCGTTTTCCTTTGAAAGGAGACCACCAAGCAGGCTTTAAAGAATCCTTTATCTTTCTAGCAGCAACATAATGGTGGTGGAAATTTAAACTTCACCATCAAATATTTATCCTATTACAGTGTCTTAAGTAATTTAAGCTGCTGAAATCAACACTGTGGTTTTATTTTTAATGAGCCTTGTGTAAAACAGCCCCTTCGATCATTGTCAGGTGCGTGTGGAAGAGTTGCATTTACTCAAAGAATTTTCAATCTCCCTGAAGAAACTCTGTTAAATAATGCACAGCACTTAACAAAATGTTACCTGTCACTGGTGGCAAAGCTGGCTAGGGCTGGGCAAGCCTGGCTTTGCTGGAGGTTAACAGAGGAAGGGGGTCTTTTGGGGTTGGTTGGGAGCTTCCTGGGGGAGGCTGGTTGTGTTTTAATCTACCTAATGGCAAGAGCACCCTGGGTCTAATTTTGGATGGGGCTCAGCCTCGTGGAATGCAGTGGGTGACGGCAGGGTCAGGCTGGGTGGTTTCTCTGCCTGGAGCCAGCGGAGAGCTCACAGCTGGGCAGGTGGAGGAGGGGAAAGGCTGCGGGTCGCCGAGGTCCCTCCGGGCAGGGCAGCACGGGCTGCCCGAGCTGCTGGAGCCGGGGCTGCGGGCAGGGCGGCACCGCCGGGGGAACACTGACCCCCAGCGCCCGGCAGCGGGAGGAGCCGAGCCGGGCTGAAGCCGCGGCGAGAACGGAACTGAAGCATCGCGCCGCAGCAGAGCGAGAGGGGGAAGAGTTGGGGTGACCGCAGCTAAAGCGGCTGCTAAATGAGGTCCGGAAAAGCTCTCTGTAAGCTGCTGCTGTGCAGCGGCGAGGCTGAGGTGCCGCAGCCCGTGTAATCGGATTCCCGGAGCAGAGGTAACGGTCCCGCGGGACGCTCTGTGCTGGCAGAGATTGACTTCCCTTTGGTGAAACTCTTCAAAAAGTGATGCTGCTCAGTGCAGCTCAGGTCCTTGGAAGGGAAGGAAAGCTTGGGCAAAGCGGCTGCCTGATACTGAATCCCAGACTGGTTTGGGTGGGAAGGGACCTTAAAGCTCCTCCAGCTCCAACCCCTGCCACGGGCAGGACCCCTTCCACTGGCGCAGCTTGCTCCAAGCCCCTGTGTCCAACCTGGCCTTGAGCACTGCCAGGGATGGGGCAGCCACAGCTTCTCTGGGCACCCTGTGCCAGCACCTCAGCACCCTCACAGGGAAGAGCTTCTGCCGAAGAGCTCAGCTCAGTTTCCCCTCTGGCAGGGTAAAGCCATTCCCTTGCCCTGTCCCTACGTTCCTTTGTAAAGCATCCCAGAGATCATTAGGAAAAGTGGGTTTGTGCAGCAGTAGAGGGGGTGATTGATATCAGCAGGGCCTGACACTTCCAGCTGGACCTCCTGTAGGAGGTCATGGCCATGCAGCTCTGCAGGCAAGCATCCCAACTTTCTGTATCCTCTGCTTCTAAGGTGTCCCTTAAGGATTTCCATTAATGACTTTCATAGTTTTTCCCCTTGCTGCTCTTTCCTGCAAAGCCTATGTACTCTGCTCAGTTGTGTTAATTTCTTCAGATACTGGCTTTCCACGTTTGGTTCTTGATAAGATATTAGGAAGAAATCCAAAATAACACTCGAGGAGAGATTTCTCACATGGCAAGAATCAAGTTTCATTATGTGTCATAAATTCCTTGCTATTCCCATGTCTGTAACTCCTCAGTAATGAAAATGAAGGTCTCATTGGTGCAAAGCTGTCTAGGACAGCCACATCAGAGGGTGGCAGGCCCCCTTGAATGCTTGGTTTCCAGCTCAGCTATCAACTCATCAGAAACTGAGCCAGGAGACTTTTGGGAGCCCAAAACAGGCCCTTTGCAGCCACTACCCGAGTTGGCACAACACCGTCATTGCAGGAGAGAACAACCACTAGGAACTTGTGTCCTCGGATTATCCTGCCAGCACTGGCTGTGCCGAGGAGGGAGGATGCTGCAGCACGGTCCAGGCAGGGAGCGAGGCTCCCTGTGCCAGCCAGTAGGAAGCGGATCCTCCTCCTGCTTTCTCCCAAGTGCTGCTAATGAAGCATTCAGCCCCTTCACTAAAAATAAGGCTCCCATAGCAGGAAAAGACCAACCGGCGTTCCCGCTGGATGCCTGTTTACTTTGGTAGACCTCGCGTTCCCCAGTTAACAGCCGCTCTGTTTGCAGGCAGCGCGGGTTTTGGCTGCTGTCCCTGGCATGTTGCTGATAGTTATCCAAATGAACCGGGAGGATTGTAACAGACAGGGACACTGGTGCAAGTGACAGGCGCAGAGACAAGAGCTGCGAGAAGCTAATTTACACATCGAGTTTCACAGCCTGAACCTCCCTTCCTGCTCAATAAGCTCCTCAGCTGCCGCTTTGTACCCGCCAGCAGCTTTCATACAAATAAGGGAGCTCTCAAAATCTTCCTTTTTGCTGCCTGCTTAGACAAGAGATTCTAATAAAAACCCCTCTTAATATTGTTGAAAATAAGTCCTCTTTTATGTGGAAATGTGGGCTTAATGTAAATACTTTGTGCTGCTCTGATTCCCTTTAAGGGCTGCGTGGCTGGTAGCAGTCCCCGCGCAGCCTTTCAAGTGGCTCAGGAGGCTCAGCCTGCTGCTGGGATGTGGGCTGGTCTCGGGGGGGAGCTGCGCCCTCGCAGCCCTCTCGGCACTGTGCGACTGTTCGTTTTCTCCAAGAGGGATCAGCTGGATGTGGGGAAATGCAGCAGCATCTGCAGTGAGGGAATTGGCACCGCTTTCCCCCTAAATAATGTGGTTATAGGGGAGAATGTGGTGAAGGTAGTAGAGGAAGTGTGCAAGGGAGCCCTGCCATCTTGGCTTCCCCCATGGAAGTGTCCAAGGCCACCCTGCAGCCTCAAGTGCTCGTGATCCTTCATCTCCATCACTATGTGCTGCCACACACTGTGTCCACACAGACATGATGCTGCTGTAGGGCTCAGCCACCTCTCCCTCACCACTCAAATCGATTTTACAGAGCATAAAGAATGGGAAACGTACAGTGTTGTGGAAAGTATTTATTAAGATCTTCACCATTTAATTTTCCTTGCTATTTTGAGCTCATGGAGGAAATTAAACCAACCACCAAGCCTTCCAGCTGCAGAAACACTGTTCTTCAGCCCCTTCTGGTCCTCTCCTCTTTACGAGACAGTGTAAGTTTTCAGTGCCCAATAAAAGCAATCATCTGTATTCCGTGGCTGCAAGCAACTGCACTGGCAGGGAGCGGAGCAAGTCGAGAAGCTTTCGGAGGAGAATACGAATTATCTTGGGCAGGGAACACAGCACAGAAGGACCCTTGAGCACCAGGAGATATTGCAGCGCAACCATCAGGTGTTCTCCAGCGCGGTGCGGTTGAACAGAGAGACTTTCTGCTTTTGAGCAAAAACCTCTTACTTGAGTATTCCCACGGGGCCGTTCTTGCCACTTAGCTCAGCCATTTAAATGGCTGCTCATGGGTTTTTTAAGGCCGGGATGAGTGGACAAGCCTTTGATGAGCTCAGCTGGCTTGAGGAGCACAAGTAATACCCTCCAGCCGCTGAGGCTCGTGGCTCCGCAATGAGCAGGACCATTAAAGGCTGTTATAAAGAAACAACCTCCTGCACCCTCAGCTACATAGAATTACAAAAGTCCCCCCAGCGTCCTCAAAGCATGGAATTAACAGAGGAGAGCTGTAGTTTAATGTGATGGATGGAGCCCCCGGGGCCGCTGTGTCCCTCCTCCGTCAGGGCATGTTGGGCAAGCACTGCTTCTTCTGATAAAGTGCAGATAATGACACCCTTAAATCCAGGCGTTGGGCTGCTTGAGAGCCATGGAATCAACAGGGTTGGAAAAGCCCTTTCAGCTCATCCAGTCCAACCCTTACCCCAGCACTGCCAAGGCCACCACTGCCCCATGGCACTGAGGCCTCGTCTCCACGGGGTGTGAACACTTGCAGGGCCAGTGCCTGCAGCCCTGCCCTGGGCAGCCTGTTCCAATGCCTGAGCACCCTCTGGGGCAGGAATTGTTCCTCAGCTCCATCTAAACCTGCCCTGGGGCAGCTTGAGGCCGTCTCCTCTTGTCCCATCCCTTGTTCCTTGGGAGCAGAGCCCAGCCCCTCCTGGCTCCATCCTCCTGGCAGGCACTTGTAGGGAGCCATCAGGTCCCCCCTGAGCCTTCTCTTCTCCAGCCTGAACCCCCCAGCTCCCTCAGCCGTTCCCATCACACTTGGGCTCCAGGCCTGCACCAGCTCCATTGCCCTGCTCTGGCCCCGCTCCAGCCCCTCTATGTCTATCTTGTAGTGAGGGGCCAGAACTGAACACAGGATTTGAGGTGCAGCCTCACCCGTGGGACAGGGGCACAAACACTGCACTCATCTCCTCATCCTCATCCTCATCCTCAATGAAGATGTTTCTGCCACACGGGAGTCCCTCTGCTATCGGCAGCCCTGGAAGTTAAAGAGGGATTTGAGTTACTGACATTATTTGCTCCCTGAAGGCTGTGGAGATGAACCGAGAGGCATCTCTGAATAGTAACACCCTGGCCGCACACTTTGGAGCGGGAGCAAGCCCTGCTCCAGAAGGAAGCCCTGAAACGCCCATCCCCTCTAGAGCGAGGAGGCAGAACTGCTCCGCAGCAGAAGCCCATTAGGCAGTTTGGAGGCAAACTCCTGTTCCCAATCTGCTAACTCGTATTTAACGGCGGGGCAGGGCAGGCTCCCCGCGCTGTGCTCGGGCTGTGCCCCGCTTGCGGCCAGCGGGGACCCGGCCTCCCTCCGCCTTCCCCCCCCGGAGCCCGGCGGCTCCACAAGATGGCGAGCGCGGGCTCCCCCGCCCTGCCCAAGATGGCGGCGGGCGGCCAGGCGCGGAGCGGGAGCCGCACCGGGACCCCCGGCTCGGCCCTCCCGGGGCGGCGGCGGCGGGAGCGGCTGCTCGGGTACCGCGCGGAGGGGTCCCTGGAGGGCGGGAGCCCGGCGGCCGCCTCCGCTCAGCCCGCGGGGGAAGCGTCGCCTGCGGCCCGGCGCCAGCAGCGGGGGGGGGCCCAGCCGCCAGGCCAGGTAGGAGCGGGGCGGGCTGCGGGGCCGGGGGTGCGGGTAATGGTTAAGGGCCGCAAACGGAGCAGGGCCGTGAGGGAGTTACCTGGAGAATTCACGTGGTTCTTCCCTCCCCACCACTTCGTTACGCTCCTGTGACCGTATTTGTGTGCTCCAGGGCCAGCTCTGGAGTTTTTTACCGTTTAAAAGCCGGCGATGGGATGTTAGCCTAGCAATAGTCCGTCCTGCTACATTAATTGCCAGCTACAGCGTCCCCAGGAAAACATGGAAATGGTGATTAGCCACATACGGTGATGGTTTATGCTTTGAGAAGTAACTTGCTCCTGGCGGTGGACTGTGCCGTAGTGCAAGCTATCTGCTCCTCTTTCGTCCTGTTTCTCAGTGATGCAGCTGTGCATCAAGGTGCTGCTCAAGCCCTTCAGGTCCACATCCAGCCTTGCAGCTAAAGAGATAGGGTGGTTTTCTTTATTTCAGTTAAGCTTTAGGATCTTATCCCTTCTTCTACCACTGCTCTTCACAGAAAACAGCTGAGAGACGACCCTCAAAGAGGCTAAAAACCAAACACCCTGGTCTAGTAAAATCTGAGCTAGGACTTCCACGTGGAAGGGGAGCCCTTGCTGCGTTGGTGGAAACACCCCCAACAACGGATGGGGATCAGTGTTCAGAGGATCCAGGAGACCATGCTGTAATTCAGCAGCAAAAAGGTGAAAGCATTCCAGAGACTAACAGAGAGGAACAGGAAAAGGAGCATAATGCATCTCACAAGCCACGTGGGGTGAAATCAAGAGATGCTCCATCAGAAACGGACAGTGGTGAAGGTGCGCATGCTTGTGTCTGCAGCGAAGAGAGCAGCTGTGAGAGTGCACTTTCTGATGGGTCTGGCTCGGAGGACACTGCTCTCCCAACGAAGCCGATGCGACTGGACAGCAGCACCTTCTTGGATGAAGACAGCAACCAGCCGATGCCCATGGACCGGTTCTTTGGAGATGTGGAGTTTTTGCAGGTGAGATGATGACCTCCTCTGTTCCATGATGAGGTGATGCTCAGCTCTGTTCCACTCAAGTCTCACAACTGCAAACTAAATTAGGCTGGACTTGTAGTTCTCTGGCATCGTATTCCTGTCCTCTAGAGAGAACTGTCTTGATCAGAGCTGGAAGTAATTGCCCAGCCAGATTAATTTCAGATGTAAAATCTTTTGTACTAAATTCTTTAGTCCAGTTCTATAAGACAGGTATTTTTACTCATGAAGACATACAGAGCTGTACTGTGGAGACAGGGTGTTATTGTCACAATGTTTTCTCACTGTGTGTTGGTGCCTGGTGTAACAGCTGCGGCAGGATGTGAACCTTTGGGGAGGCGGGAGCTCTGCCATTTGCCACAACAGACTTTCCTCACTGCTTTTATCCTTTCTTTAAAGGATCTCCCAGCAGTTGCTCTCCCAAGCACAACGATGAGCAGGCGAGAACTCCGAAAGCTCCATTTCATTGCGAAGGAAGAGGAGGAGGAAGAGGATGTTGTCTAACAGCAAAGTGTAAATAAACTAACCCCTTTCTCATTGCAACCACGTGATGCTGGTTGGCTGTTGCTAACATAAGGTGTCTGCGTTTGCCTTTTCTCAGAGAGAGAGGTGGTGGAGTTTGTTTTCCTTGAGTTGGCAGATAGAGGATTCTCCCACAGTTGTCTGGGGCTAAGATTGACTGAATTGTCAGTGATTTGGAAAGAAATTGCAAGTTAGCATTTTACCACTAATGTTTAGGAAAAAAACTGGGAAAATGGAAGCTCTCAGAGCTTGCTTATGATTTTGAGGTCCTGCCTAGGATGAACACTTGGTCTCGCTCCTTTTTTCAGAAATAGCCAATTAAACCAGGTGAGAACAAGTTCCTTTTGCTATGAATTCTGTGATGTCTGCCTTTGTGGCATCCTGTTAGTAATGCAGCCAGTTGACTCCCCAGAACCAAGAGGGACACCAGGCTCTGTTGTGTGTGCTGCACTGTTTGTATCTAAACCAGAACCAGTTAAACCTCCGAAATGCTGTTCTGCTGGTAAAGCATGGATTCAGTGTGAGGGCAGCGATGGTAATCTCTGGGAGTCAAGTAGTTCTTGTTGCATTTCAGTTCTCTTAATAACCACCACATAAAGCTGGCTGCCTCCCTCTTCCACCAGAGCAGCTGTGAGCACTGCCTGTGGCAACATAGGCAGTATTTTCAGTTGACTTCCCAGGGTTAGGAATAGGGATTTTGTATACAAATGCATCAGTGGTGATAAAGGAGGAATAAAACTGCTCAGTGTGAGGCTTGATCTGTAGGTGAGCGAGTACTGCCCGCTAAAGATGGGGGGCAGCCCACCACGTTCTAGCCTGCATTTGTACCCAGTAATGAGTAATTTCAGATGGTTTGAGGACTGTGAACTCCCCCAGTGTTTATGATAATACATCTTCAAAAGTGTGATTATGTGATAAGCTCCCAGATCTTTATTGTTACAGTTTCTTCTCCTTTTCTATAAAACATAGAGAAAATGTTATCAGCAGATGGTTTAAATAAATATTAATTTCTACAGCTACAGCCTGTTAAATGTTCAAAAGTTGTAAGTCAAACAAATTGTAAATGCATGACATGTTAATTTATTCACATTTCCACTCCAGCTGATGCATTGTTTCTGTCAATGATATTTCTTGGCTCCTTTTCACTCTTAATTCTTTAACACAGAAAAATCTAATTTTTTAATAGCATATTCATGGTTCTCAGCACAACTCCAGCTTGAAGCAGCTCTCCCACCCTTCCTTAAATGATTTATTTGCTGCTGTCTCTTTCTAGCAAATATGGCTTTGCACACAGACATTTGGGGTTGTTTCAGCACTGTGCAAAACAGTGATTCGCAGTTTGTAGGAACTGCACCCTACAGATGACAACTGTTTTGTCATCAGGGTCTTAGCTGTGATGCCATCCCCAATGTCAAACCAGTGCAGTGAGTGATTGTATCTTGGGTATGAGTACTGTATAGTCAGTAAGGTAATATGGAAGGATTGATTAAGTGCATTGGTGTTAAAAATCCTGCATTTAAAATGCTCCTACTTAAATTTTATATTGAAATGTTTGAGGGGGCTGGGTTGTTGTTTGCAGCTTGCTAGTCTCTGTAGTAAAGCTCCTGCATTTCCAAGACATAGCAGGTCATGGCTCACCCATCAGTTACACCTCTACACTGTTCTGTGTGGACTAGCTTGGATTTACTTAGGTAGGGAAGAGGACCAACAATATGGGGGTAAAGAGGGTGAAGTTATTCACAGTCAGCAGCTAGTGCTCTACTAGCAATCTCCCTGTGCTCAGCCTTTCCATTCTGAATTGCCATGCTATGTTAGACCTCATTAACCACTCCTGCTCCTCTGCCTCCACATAACAACACAGGAAAATGGTGTCAATTTTTTAATTTGAAGAAATTCCCATCACTTACACTGACAGTCCCTATAAATTCAGTTGCTGTCAGCTGGTACTTAAAAAAAAAACAAGTAAAAATTGATCCATTTGTATTTTGTTACCTGAGGTAGGAAGTGTTTTACAAAGGCAATATTCTCTGGAGCACCAGGTAAAACTGATTATGCAGTTACTTTCCTTGTGTTGCTTCAAGCTACAGAGGCAGAAACAGAAAGAGAGAAACCAGTGGGGAAGATGCTAAAGAACCAAGGTAGCAGAAGCAAAGATGTGGTCATGCATGAGTGTGGGTGTTTCAGCACAGAAGAGCCAGCAGCTCTGTCACTGAACCGCCCTTTAGCGCACCTGAAATACAGTGGTTATCACCTGGAAAAGGCATGGAGCAGAATAATTATCCTGAAGTACTTTGTTTGGCTTAAAGTTCAGAGAAATGCGCATCTAGCATTAGTTTTTCGGACCTATGTTTGTCATGGCTAGAGAGGCAGTAGAGCTTAATCCCTGTCAGCCTCTGGCCTCAGTTTTATACTGACTTGCATCTGTATTTTAACAGTGTGATGGAAGGCAGGCTTGAAGTGAGAAAGCAGGAAAGCAGAATTATGCATGAGGTACCTGTATGCTTTGTGAGATGGCATCTGAATTACTTGGCAAGTCCCTTTTGGCAGGGACTCTGAAATAAGTCCTTTAGCAAACTAGAGCTGTTCAAAACCAACCAAATATTGAAGTGACTTCAACATTTTGAAGTCACTTCCAGAGATGCACTATCAAATCCTGTGGTTGTGCTTTCTTCTCCTGTAAATTTTAGTTTTGTCACAGCTGAGGTTATGATTGGTTTTCTTATGGCACGCAATATGTACAAGTTTTAAATTATCCACAGTAAACAGCAGCTGATAGAAGTATTCCCAGTTCACTTCCCTTCCATCTTGTGTTTTGACAGCTTCTGCCAGTTCTGGGACAACAGCACGTTTCTTCTCTATTCTTCAGTGCACAAAAGAGAAAACAATATTGCTGTTAAAGGCTTTTTTTCATAATAATTGAGCATCCATCTTCCTTTCAGAAGCAGGCAGAATGTGAATTCCTTCACTGTAACTAGGCTTCCCAACCCGAGGAAATATAGCACATCCTGTTTGCTTCACAACTGCACAGTGCCTGAAAACAGGTCTGAGAGTTTGCCAGAGAGGAGTCCCCACAAAGGGGGACATAGTGAGGAGGGGTATGTTCTGTACAAGAAAAATCTGAACAGAAGCAAAGCAGCTAATGAGAGACAGCATCGTCATCTGCCTTCAGGACTTTATGTCATGAGAAGCAGCTGCAGCACCCAAGCATCTTTTATCACAGTGCAGTGGGGTGAGTAAAGACTCTGGCTGTTCCTTTCCTGCCTAAGATGAAGGGTAGTTTGAATTAATATTTTGTACATACATGTGATCAAGATTCCAGGTACTGAAGATGATTCTGCTCTCCCTGTTACTGTAGGGGTTGATGGAATGCTTACATGGGCAGTCATCTCTGTCGAAGGGTCCCTATAAAACAAGAGGGTGCCCTGCTCATCATGACTGACTCAAGATAGATCACCCACATCATTGCCCTCCCAAGATCATTATCACACTGCGTGCACATCCAGCTAACTCTGTCCTTCCTCTACTGTAAGTCAGAGTGCTGCCTGCTGGAACCAAGACTCTGCTTTAGAAAGGGCTGAACTCACCTGACAAGAGAACCACCCCTCTGTGGTGCACAGGCGGGCTGCTTCCTCCTCCTCCCTTCTGTCAAAGTAGCATCCATTGTATTTCACAGATTTCAATTTATCTGCCATCATGTCAATGATCCTTTTATACTCATCTCTTGCTGTAGGATGAACATTTGAAATAAAGCTGCTAACCTAGAAAAGGGAAAACCCCCAAACCAATCATTCCTTGGTGCCTATAGCAGCCTGAAGCTCTTTTCTACAATCGCTATTTCATACTATAGAAGTCTTTTATATGTGATCACAGAATTAACTTGCATCTTGAAAATAAGCTACTTCAACAGAACCTTTTACCTCTTTCATGTAGCTCCGTATTCTGCTTTCACAACTGTATCGCATGTAGCTTGACTTGTTCTTAAAGCGAGACTCTAGACCTAAAGGGAGTTAAGTGTGTTGTAACTTAGCTACTGTTAGTGCAGGGCTTCTGCCTTCCCCCTTCCTTCCAAACTCCCTATGTGCAGATGTTTTCGTTCTATTTTTGCTTTACTGGGTCAGGACTACCCTGCTCTTAGCATTTAAAAGCCCACCCAGTGCACCAGCTGAGAGCAGTAGCTGATATTATAGTTGTTACTTGCTAAAGAGATTGTGAAAAGAAAGCAATTGTTCAGGAAGCACCACAACAACGACTTGGGAAGGGGAAGTGCAGCTTGTGAAGGGGGTTGAAAGAAAATGTAAAGAAGGTTAGCTGGTACCTGCAATTAGCAGGATGCTAATAGCAAATCGTTAACAGATTGTAAATGCACACCTGTACTAATGGGGAAAACAATGTATTCCAGATGCTCTGTTGGACAGAGCAAGAAGGAACACTGGAGTAGTTTTAGCCGTTTTTCTGATGCTAAATATGCATATCCTGTACGGAAGCCTTGAAAATGTATCACCGCTCCCCTGACAGGGTACCAAACCGCTCCAGCTAGAATTGCTCCCACATTTTTAAGCTATGATAGAATGATTCTACTTCAAGAACAGCAGGACTGACAGAAGTGCCTACAGCAGCTCCCTGCAGTCACCGAACGCACCTTCAAACCACTTCTCATCCTCTTCCTTGTCCTCGGCCAGGATGTTCTCGCTCAGGTTGTGGATGAGATCCGCCAGCAGCCTCTGCCTCCTGGGAGCCCGCTCATCGCTGAGCAGCTTCCGAGCGGCCTCCACCACGGCCTCCCGCTGGGTGCAGAAGGCGGCGAGGAACCGCTCGATATCGCTGGCACCTGCGGTAAGGACGAAGCGGCGCGGGCTGAGCGGCCGCTCCCAGGCACTACCCCACCGCCCGGCCCCGGTGCACTCACAGCCGTGCCACGTCTCCCCCGGTCCCAGCAGCACCAGCTCGCTCTGCGGCGGCAGGGCGCGGAAGTAGCCCTCGGTCAGCTCCGTCCCGTCCTCATAGAGGCAGAGGCGGCTGCCTGGCAAGGGAAGCTGCCCCGCGGGCGGGTGAGGCCGGGCCGGACCGCTGCCCCGCGCCGCGGCCCGCGGCCCGCACCTGCAGCAGCCGGCAGCTCTTCCGGAGCAGCCCGCGCAGGCTCCCCGCCGCCACCCCGAATTTGCGCGGGGCGCAGCGCCCGCGCACCCGGAAAGCGCGGAGCGGCTCCGCCATCCCCCGGTGCTGCTCCTCCAGCCCCCGGAGCGGCTCCCGCCGCGCAGGCGCCCCGAGCGGAGGAGACGGCTCCGGCCCGGGGCGGCCGGACGCGCATGCGCGGCGTTGGGCGCGGCGTTGCCATGAGAGCCGGCGGCGGGGCCGCGCTGAGGTAAGTGGGGCCTGCTCCGGCCTGGCCGTTTACCCCTTGCTCCTCCGGCCGGGCCCCAAGGGCCCCGAGGCTTTCTCCGCGGCCCGGTCGTTCCCCCGAGCCGGTGGAGAGCCGCCGCGGCCTGTGCTGCAGCGGCCGGGGGTAGCGGGAGGAGGAGGGAGGGGGCCGAAATTGATGCTGTGCTAGCACTGCGGTACCGGGGGTAGGGCTGGCGGTGGTCTCTGGTGTTTGTCTTTCCCGTTGCTCCTTCCCTGTGTTGCCCGTCAGCAGCCCAGGTGTGTGCGTAGCTGTGGAAAGGTGCTAAATTGACCCAGTTCTTCATTATTGCTTAATTTATAACTTCGGCTGTTACACAAGTTAGCTAACCTCTCGTTGTGTGAAGTGCAAGTAGAACGCTCAGCATGAGAACATGGTGTGGTTTATGGTGCTGATATTATAAAGAAAACTTAATTTGCCATCATCATCTGCTGACTCGACAGCCCATGGGACTTAATGCTTTCACTGCAGTGTTTCAGTGTTCTTCTCTTGCCCTTCCAGGGATTACCTTAAGCTTGAAACACTGTGGCTTTGACTGGCTTACGCCTGCAGGATGCCCCACAAGATCGGGTTTATAGTTGTTAGCTCATCAGGACACGAAGATGGCTTCAGCGCGAAGGAGCTGATGGTTCACGCACCGACAGTGAATGGATGGCGATCATCCAGGTATGTCAAGGGGCTGGGACATGCATGCACTGGGTTTAAAATAAGCGGATGATGTACTGTGTCCAGTACCACCAAAAGAAGTTACTTTAATCCCATGGAATCCTTATCTTGGAGGGGAAAAAGTGCCTTGGTTACCACCTAAAGGCATCACATTGTGTGAAAAAAAGGTTCTTTGAAAGAAGGAAAGGGAATTGTTTGTATTCTTGTCAGTTTTGGAGTTTGCAGCTGCTTTGGCTTAGTATTAAAAATCCAGTCTTTTCAGTATATCCTCTAGACATGTATGGACACCTTAACACACCCATGCGTGCAGTGAAGTGAAAAGTGTTTCTCCTCCTTGGTTTCTTTTCATGATATTTGTAATGTTGATGTAAGTGATAATGTTGGAAAGCTTTGTAATTAAATGTTACTCGAGTTGGAAGTGGAATCGTCTATAAAAGGATGATTCAGAAATTGTGTGTGTTTTCAGACTCTGTCAGTATCCACAGGAAATTGTTCTGCAGTTGGTGGAGAGATGTCGAATACGAAAGCTGCAGTTGCTTGCTCACCAGTACATGATTTCAAGCAAAATTGAGTTCTACATCAGCGAAAGCTTGCCTGAATACTTTGCTCCTTATCAGTCAGAGAGATTTCACAGACTAGGGTAAGCAAAACAGCTCTAAATGGTTTTATTACCTTAATCAAAATGTCTTCAGGAGGAAATAATGTGCAATAATATGGCTACAGTGTGCTGGAAGCAGCAGAGATTCTCTATTTGCTTAGGTGGGTAACAAAGCTGCAGATGTAGGTGTAAGAGACATGAATAGTATTGTCACTTCACAGCACATGTTTCACTTATGAGTTTTATACCTTAGCAAAGCCCTCACCTGAGGAGCAAAGATGCAGCTGCGTATTTGTACAGTTCCTCTGCTTACTTGTTACATTTTCCTTCTCAGTTATGTTCCTCTCTCGGACAATGAAAAGACTGATTTCAAAGCACGAGAGTTAAAATCTGTGTACATGGATGCAGTTGGCCAGTACTTGAAGCTGATTTTCCATAAAAATTATGTCAATAAATACAACTTATATGGTCAGGTGAGTTACAAGTCCTTACTTGGTAAACTAGATGACACTTCAGTAGTACAGAACAGGCAATGAAATCTCCTCCCTTCACTTATAGGAGCTAAAAATGTCAGTTGGATTTATATTTGGTTTGTTTTAACCAGAAAATACAAATAAGAGGTTCTAAGTGACTTGGGATCATGACCAAGTGCATGCAGCTTATCCAGAACAAGCAAATCAAGTGCCCATTCCATTATTGCCTTTTGTCCTGGGTTGTAGAGAGCACCTGAAGCTCTGCTCTGAGGACAAAGGGCTTCCTCTGAGAATGGCTTTGTGGTCCTTACAAAGGCACTCTTAGTCTATAGGATCTGAGGTGATGTCAAGTGAAGGTATTATACAGCCACCCTGATACAGAAACAGCAAATACCTACCTCAGTTCTACAGTGAGTCTCTTTCCTTTCATCCCAGACCAGGAAAGGGAGCAACGATGGCTGTGCAATGTGGTCTGGAGACTTGGTAATAAATTTTTAATGGAGCATGAAGTACATTTGGCAGTTAGTGCTGTTCTTTGCTTCCATATCACTCTGGAGACCACCAGCTCTACTTTTTGTCTTTTTGTTCCACTTTTTTTGTTTCAGTTTTCATAAGATATGGAAAAAGTAATGACCTTATGCATTTACATTTGCTTTAAATCTATCCCAGGTCGCCCTAGTAGCTATAAACATTATTGGAGATCCAGCAGACTACAGTAATGACAGCACTAACAGTGTAAGTGCAAAGCAGCCCTGTCTTTTTACTGTTACTACATGTGTTCAGTTACAGGGTTCCTGGGGTAATGGAGTGCATCTTTCTTCTGCTGGTTTTGTGCTGTAGCAGAGCTGCCATGTGTTAATTATTTATTTTCTTTAATGTTTTAATGATGTTCTCAAGAATGGAGCCTGATATGTGGGTAGAAAAAATACAGTCATTTGGAACATTTGCACTTCCAGCCTCTCAGGATACCCCAAAATACATAACAAGGGTTATAATTTACATTGCTTATGTCAATTGTAGGAAGTCAGAATCTCTGTCCTGAATGTGCACTTGGTGTTGAATGCACACTAAGATATTTCTTCTTTCCCCTTGCAAAGCCTTCCAGGGAGAAGCTGATAGATCAGTACTTAGGAATTAAATCAGATGATCCTGCCTTAGATGGAACTTACCTCGGGTAAGGATGTTCTTCTGTGTATACCCTGGCAAAACGTCTGCTTGGAATAAAGTAGTTCTCAGTCCCTCTGTTTTGTTAGTTCCCTGCTAGTGGAAAGAGAATACAAACACTCAGCCTGGCTTATTCTGGATGAACTGAAAGCTTAGTTTATTCCTTTTATATCTTCAGGAAATGCGACTCCATTTCACCTCTGGATGATCTGGCTTTTGACATGTATCAGGATCCAGAAGTCGCTCAGATAATACGTAGACTGGATGAGAAGAAGCGGGAAGCTGTCCATCACGAGCGCTATGATTATGCCAAGAAACTCAAACAAGCTATTGCAGACCTGCAGAAGGTATTGTGGAAAAGCTCTTTGTCTCTTAAGCCAAACAGTATTCCAGCAGCCTATTGGAGACCCTTGTGTTCATGTGGAATCATAACGGTTTCCAGTATGTTTTCAAAGAGTAATTCTAAGAACAGATAGTTTAGTTGAATAACTTTAATATAGGTACAGTAATGTGATTCCAAACTAGCCTGCTATGCTGTCTGCTAGGTAGGGGAAAGACTTGGGAGGTACGAGGTGGAGAAGCGCTGTGCTGTGGAGAAAGAGGATTATGATCTTGCTAAAAAGAAGAAACAGCAAATGGAAGCATATCGCCTGAAGGTGTATCAGCAGCTGGAGCTCCATGACCTTCTGGATGAAGAGCTGATGGTGGGTACTGCTGTTCCTAATTCAGGAGGCTAGTGTAAAGAGAAGTGGCCGAGCAGCCTAATAGATTCAAAGAATAAGAGTTGGTACACTGGTATTTTATGACAATTAGGTGAGGATTTTAAGTTTTCTATGTGGATTTCCCTAACCAAAGACTTGCATTTTACGAACATGATTAACTCTCCATAAACTACATTACATTGGACTGTTGAGGTCTCAAGCAAATGACATAAGAATCCTGAATGTTTTGCAGAATTAGAGGACTACCTGATGCAGATGAGTAAGAAACTCTCTTACATTTTGAAGGGGTGTAACAGGTCAAAGCTGACCAGACAGAATTACTGTGATAAGATACATATAGTTTTATATTGTTCTTGGAACAGGAAGCTTTATCATCTCCTGCCACTCATCCACACAGAATTATTTCCTGATTCACAAAGCTGCATCCAGTGGAAATGATTACCCATCTCTGAGTGGGGTCTGACAGTTATCTGAAAGCACGAGAATCTTGGTGACTGTCAGAGCTGGGGCTGTGCCAATCCTGATTTTAGGACATTGTCAGCCTTGCTTTACAAAATCTTCCTTTTCTCAGGTTCGAAAACCATCTGAATTGCCTTTGGAGCCTATGACTTACGCTGACAATCTTCAGCTCACCAAACCTGCAACTTCACCTCGTTGTGAGCACACAGAGCCCCCTAAAGGGGAGTCGTGGAGAGCAGAGCCTCTGCTAGAAGAGAGGTCAGCAGATCCCGCTTCTGCTGAGCCTGTTGTTCTCCATCAGTCCCCTCCTCCTCCTGAGACTCATCCCACAACCTCTAGGGAAGCGTTTCCCAAAGAAAATGTGAGTAGTGAACCTCTGTTACTGCAGAAGTCTGTCAGAGCAAGTGGTTGTGCATTCAGCCTTTAAAACAAGGGCTTTGTGGTTATTCGCATGGCTTATACATTACCGGAGATTGAGGCAAAAAGGGATTGATTTTATCTGATTTACAAACAGATGACTGGAAGCTAATAGACACTAAATGACTATTCAGGGCTTGTGTGTCCAATACAGTGGAAGCTGAATTCTGCTTGCTCCATTAGTGGCTTAATAAATCTCCGTCTGAGAGATCAGGTCAGGTGAATCTACAGTTGCAAGGGAATTTGTTGGAATGTGGTTATGGAATAAGAGTCTTGGTGTCGTGTCTAAGGAGAGGAAGAAAATCACAGTGTCTGGTTAGCTTA